CCCCAAAACCCCAAAACCCCAAAACCCCAAAACCCCAAAACCCCAAGATGAAATTATAGATATATAATGAGAGAGGCTTGTATTATAATTGTAAAATATAACATATATATTAATGGGTCTATTAAGTAGAAGAAGAAAGCAACCAAGGTACTAATCTCATTAGATTTTATATTATAAAATAGAATTGTCAAAAAGAAGAAGGTTAATGGTCCAAAGAAGATAAGTTTAAACCAACTTGATCCAAATATTAGAGTAAGCAATACTTATTTGTAATGAATTTTAATTTACAGAGACATTGGGACAAAAAGAAGTCTGTTTAGGAGAATTTCTAGCATATGGGTCTTACATACAACTTAAATCCAAACTTGAAATATACTGATGATGGGAAAAAACTTTTAATAGATAGCTAATAGCAGTGGAATAAGCTAGTTTAGGATAAATAGAAGAGATTGAAGAAAGAAGCTGGTTTGAAGGATGAAGAGATCAAAAGCGAAGATGAAGAAGTAGATGTAATTGAAGAGGACTCATATGATGAGAATAATGATTACTTTAAGGACGAGAATGACTTGAATAAGTATGATTTGAAATAGTTGAGGAAAAAGCCAAAGCTGACTGAGCTTTTCGATTTACAATCGGCAAAAGAATTCAAGAAAACTGGCAAGAAACTAAGTTCAGATGATGCTTCAATGATGAAATAGCTTATCAATAAATACGGAGATGATTTTAAGGTAACTTTATCTTTGTTTGTATAATATGCCAATGTAGAAAATGTTCAAAGACATAAAACTTAACTTCATGCAATATTCAAAGGGTCAACTAAAAGAGAAATATAGAACTTACTAGTAATTTATTTAATAGGCCAATGATAAGAAGAAAAATTGAGAAAGAAATTAATTATTTGCATGCTGCCACCACCACCTAATTAAAATTATATGCTTATTTATTTAATTTTAATCAAAAGTTCTAGGATTTTTTATTCGCAAATAGGGGGTTTTGGGGTTTTGGGGTTTTGGGG